GGACATGCAATCGATCAATCAATCAATCAGTGGACACACAATCAACATGATTAGACTCCGTCCCGTTTAATTAGTCCCGTGGCCAGTGAGAGCCGTGAAAAAGTTGTTAACACCGAGGCAACACGGCAATTGTTTGTGCCGTGTCCAAAGTGGTTTAGATTAATGGTTAGCCACGGCCTTAGGTGGAGGGAGCTGGTTAAGTAGGTCATTTTCAGGTGTGCATGTCGCTTATCACACTCCTAATGGTGGCCTCTAACCCCTGTTGGTACACTGAACCAAAATAGGGGGATAAACTATCTGAAGATTTGACTTTAAAGCTAGACTGACCTTATGATCATTTCTTCTGAAGAAAAAAATCTATGTTAACTTTTAACTTTTAATTTAAAGAGTATAGAAAGCAGTATTATATAGCTTCATCTCCGCACAGTGTATAATATTTCGTTCCCGCTCGATTTCTCTATTAAAAATTGACTCCGTTTCATAATTTCCCCCCATAGCTAAAATAGGATTTTCCGAGGGTGAATGGCGCCCCAGAAGAGGACATAAATAGCTTCCCAGTGGGGCATAGATAAACCCTTAGACTGGGGCTCCCACATCCACATCCACATCCACACCCTTCCCGCCAGACCACCCACCCCTCCCTCTTTCGCAAGACGCAGACAAATTATGGACAAATTATGTCGACCTGGAAATGAGCAGCGGGCGAATGCGAGCCTGGTTTCAGCCTCATTATATAGCTGGCTGCTTCCTTCGCTGCCCTTTCCTCCCCCCTCGTACACCTCGCCGCTCCACCCCCACCCCCACTCCCTCTGTTTGCATGCGTTGTCGTCTGTTTGGCTTTTGGCTTTGGTGCTGCGGCTTGGCCATATTTAAATCGCAGGAAGTCAGCGCCAGGTTAGCTACGGGCTATGCCATATCCCATATCCCATGTGCTCTCTGTGTGTTATGTGTGCAAATGTAGTTGTTGCCCTGCGTGCGTGTGTGTGTGTGTGTTGACTGGGGGGCGGGGGTGGTTTCTGTGATGGTGGCTACTTCCGGTCGTTTGTCGCCATTTTCATAATGTCTGCCTTTGGCCCGGAGGCGTTTGTTGATTTAGTTGTGCCTTTTATTTCTCGCACTGCCCCTGCTGACTCTGGTTTTATTCGTTCTCTTTTAATTTAACAGCATAGCAAATATTTAGGTCGCCACCATCCCAACGCACCCCCCTCACCTAGCTCAATATTAAAAATGCAAGTTGCAAAATATATATACTATATACCGTACAGTTTTGCGAAAATGTTTTAAATTTTTTTGCGTTGAGGGTGCTTGGAGTTGGCCCTACTGCACAATTTGTTGTATTATTTAGCGAAGTTCACTTGAGCGTGTAGTTGAAATGAAAGTGGGCATGGTCCAGGCCCGCGGGGCAAGCAAAGTGAGTGGAGAGGAGGGATAAGCCGTGTCGGCAGTTTGCCGGAAATTGAGCCAGCAAAAAGTAAAAAAAAAAAAATAAAATATATATACGAAAAAATACCGAAAAAAAAACAGAAACAACGAGGGCCAGAAGAAATTGTTGCAGTTGCAGGTGCAAAAGTGGAGCTCGACCACTCAAACCCTCCTCCTCGCCGCCCCCGAATTGAGCCCCTACTCATCCCGAAATACCCCAGTTGCTGTAAATATAAGGCATAAAATATGCAGCGAACGGGAGACAGGCTTTTAAAATATTGCTTAAATTTTTATGTCCAGCTGAAGGCGGGATTTAATTGGAGTGGCCGGTGGAGTTCCTTCGCATCTCTCCCGTCAGCCATCTGCCTTAAATTAATTCTCATTCAGCCAATCAATTTGCTTTTCCCCGCTGTCAAATAATGCCAAATCCCCTGACAAAAGCAGATGGATATAGATAGACACACACTCACCATCTATCTATCCGTCGAGATCGAGAACGGGGAGTGGAGGAATTGCAAATCAAATGCAATGCTGTAACAAGAAGTGCTGGGAAAGCGGCGGAAGGCGAAGTGAAGTGAAATGAAAAACGTTTGGCAGTTGGAAAAGCATGTCAAGCGACTAAATTACCTTTATGCCCGATGCCACTCACTCTACCCGATCGCTTAAGTTTCCCTCATGTTTATCGATTTCGCTTGGCGACAGTTTTTCTAGCGCAATTTTCATGGCGCGGGCGATTCTTCCTGTTTTTCTTTTCCTGATTTCCTTTGCTGACTTTGCTTTGTTCGCCGACTCCGTCTTAACCGCAATTCATTTCATTTCAATTGCCCCACAGAAAAAGGCACACACAGTGTGTGTGTGAGTGTGCTGCACTTCCGGTTCCTGCCGTGGCTGTCATTCGTCCTGGCTGCTTTTTGCCTGGCCTGCATTATGCATGTTGCTCGCAAATTTAATGTGATTTACCATTTAGACGATGTGCAGACATAAACGACACACAACAGAACAGGCAAAGCTGGCGAACTGCTCGAGGGTCATGAACTAAGTTTATTGTGCACATTTAAATGAAATTGCTGCGCTCAATTTATACGCTAAGCGCCCGAAGGCAATGCCAGGTAACTTGGAACTAAAAAAAAGGACAACAACAAAGATTGTAATGTAACCTGGCCGAAGTTATAAATACCCTAGTGTATAGGCTAAATCAGTTTTTGCATTAGTCTTTTCCTGTCTTATCTGTTTTCTATATAGAATAATTTTATATTTTTTTTTTATCAAATGTATATATTAACACTATATTCTGAAACACTTCTAAACAGTGTACCACAGAGAAAGAGCAGGTGAAAAATAAAATGAAACTATCGCTCCAGGACGAAAAACATTCAACCAACTTCACACTGACTTTATATTCCATTCTCCCCGATTTCCTTACTCACCATCGCCTATTCATTTCGCTTGGTTTGGGTGGTCCTGGCTAGATTTTGTTCACTCGCTTTGGCCCACACTTTTTGTTATTGTTTAACATTGCCAGAGAGCTTTATGGAATATCCGTGTTGTCCTTGCCGTTGTTGTTGCCCGTGCTCCTGGCTCCTGGTCGGTCTGGCATCGCTTTTGAAATGTGTGCATATTGTTGGCATAATTGACTGGGTTTTTGTCAATGGTTTTTGTTTGCCGCCCTGCTGTTTTTTCAGCCGCTGCCATCGGCTGCAGTGTCTAATGTGCCATTTGTTGACTCTTTCCATGGGCACCGGCAAATGGGTTCAGTGACTAGCCAAGTGACTTGGAATTTGTCGAGCCAATGGGGGAAAAACCAGTGCAGAAATTATTACTGCCTAGATCTATATATCAGGGGTTTATGTAAACAGTTGGGAAAATTGAATAGAAAATGGAGGATTAAAGGAATTTGTAAAACGATATTATCATTGTGAAGATACGATTAATTCCTTTAAACAAAAACTACTCTTTTTTAAATGAAATGTAACACCAAGACATATATGTAAAAATATAGTTACAATGAGGCTTTTATAATAATAATCTTCCTCCCTAAAGATATCTTTAAAAAATATATATACAAGTGAAGATGGTATCCCTTGCTCGCTAATCGTTTTTATAAGAAAAAGTTTTTCCCTAGTTTTCCTTCGTGGTCCGCTTGGCTTGAAAAACTAAACTTTTCCGCCCCGACAGGACCCCCACAGCCTCTCGCACATAAGTAGAGACACTCGCCGCCGACAATCTCTCAATAAACACTTGCACAGCTCTTAATTACCCAATGCAAACTTGCTCAAGTAACACAACTTGTCCCTGGGCTGAGCTGTGCGTGGGTGTGACTGCTGGCATTACCTGCTGCTGCTCAGGTGGCTCTGCGCCTCTGACCCATCGCACCTGCACCCACATCCTGTTGCGTCCCTTCGCCTCCTCGCAATTGCCAGGTTTTTCCCAGGCGCTGGAGAACTTCGCTTGACTGGCTGTCATACAAGTTTGTCAGCTTGTTTGGCTGCGTGTTAAACAAAAACGTGGCAACAACTTTCGAGTCAAAGTTTTCATGACTCTTTTGTCAATTACCGTTAGTTAGCAAGGGGTGGATGGTGGACTGAAGGGGGGGCAAGAGGGGTGGCTAAGGGTGTCCTGGAGTTCTCTGTCTGCTTAAGTCTGCGGCCACACACATTAGGCCATTGACAAGGCGATTGGGAATGTCATGAAAGGAGGATGTTGCTTTGGGTCACGGTATTTGAATTTCCTCCAAATCTCCGTGTTAATGCACTGCAAAAAATTATAAAGATAAAGAAAATATCTAAGATATTGGGAGGAGTATTAACTATTAATAAACTATCACTGTATAAATATTTTATAATAAAAAGGAATTTATGTTGGTATAAGTTTACTCATGGTCAAAAAACCTTTTCCCCAGTGTTCTTTGTTTTTCCCAATTAATTTCCATCTGAGCTAAACTTGGACTATTTGTTTGCTTAACCCACCGCCGAACAGATAGATGGAAGTTCTCCTGTGAGCGTCCCCAGCTAATCCATCATTATTGATTGGCATTAAGTTGTTCCCTGGTCCTGCGTGTGTGTGTCCCTACATTATGTAATGGCCTTCGAATTAATGAGCATTTATTTATGGCAGAGCAGTGCCATGAAATCCCCCAAATGAGAAGCCCAGAACGAAGTGGCTTAGTGGGCAAATATGCGAGAATTTTAATTAAAACCCAACTAACCACATGAAACGACCGCTGACATCACGAGCTAAATCTCTAATTTGATCCGTCTCTTTCTGTTTAATTGCAGTTATCACTCGGAGAGGAAAGGACACGGCCATGGCAACGGCTAAGCCTCAGGATGCGAGGAAAAAGGATTTGAAATTACATTTTTAGTGCGGGGCGGGCAAGAAACAGAGCGCGAAATGAGCAACACGTGCGCGTTTTATTTTAAATATTTATAAACAAGCGCGCACATACAGCAAATACACACTTGCATATACAAATATATATACATATATATATATATATGTTTCCATACATATATATATGTACATATATATAGGTGACCAAAGTTGAGCCTCGTCAAATTCTATTAAAAATTCATCTTAACGGTTATGCGTTTTGTACAAACACCAGCGGAGGCAGCCAAGGAGCCGGGCAAAAAATGTTTGTAAATATTAAAATGAATTTATGTGCAGCCCAAAAGTTTTTAATTAAGTGAAAAACAAAAACACGAGTGGAGAGCAAGCGCAACGAAACGATAAAACGCCGCCAACAAATCACCGAGAAAGCGAATTAGAGCAACGAGCTTAAATATTTGAAGCGATGTTCGAGCAGAGCGAGCCCAATTTATTAGCATACTCAATGCTCGCGCAGTGAGCCGCATCCCAGCCACGCCTAGAATACTAACTAAGCCGCTATCACAGCCAATCAGATCGGGAGCAGAGCCATAACCATGTCCAGGACCATCTCATTAATCGTCTGCCTGATCATGGGAGCCATATCCAATGCTAATTCGCACGAGCATGCCGATGGCTTTAAGCCGGGTGAGTTTAATGCTATTTTACTTTTTGTCTGTAGAATATTCTATATATTCTAAAAAAAAGATATCATGGAGCTTTGGGTAGCCGTGGAAACGATTCAATAGTTGGCTTAAGTATAAAGATAGGGTATTTTTCTTTCTCTTCTTACAAAAACAAGTTAAAATAGTGCAAATTTGGACTCCATAAAATGTTTTATCTTATGCATAGAATGAGTATTTATCCACAATCAACTCTTGTAAATTACAAATTATTAATTTAAAAGACAAAATTATTATTTTTCTGCTTTACAATTTTTGTTTCCATTATTTACTCTTCCAATTGGCGTATCTGTGTCCGTTTCATTTGCACTTGCAATCTTTCATTGCCGCATTGTTTACCCAAAATGTTTTTCCACTTTTCCGGGGACTTTAAAATATGTCACTTTTTCTTTTCGTTAACTTTTGTCTGACGCGCAGAACAAATACAATTAAATTATGCATCAAAAGTTATACATTTTTAATTAGCCATTTGTGACTTTTGTTTCAAAGACTCGTTTATGTTGTCAAGTCAAGAAAAAAGGTCTGCAGGGAGATAAGATTTATTTCGGTAATTAGGCAGAAGAAAAGCGTTTTTAAAATCTTAAATTTAAATGTAAATAATCGGATGTGTCAGATCTTTTTCGTTTTTTGCAATTTTTGTTGAATGTGAAGTGTACCTGGTTGTATTAAGTCTTCCTTTGGCCATTTATTCGTTGCCCTGAACGCGGTCCTTAATTGAACATTTAAATCCATTGTTTGGAGTTCAGTACATATTTTTTCTGACCAAACATTTAAAAGTGTGGTCAACCAATTTTTACATTTTATTTTTTAATTTTTTGTGCACAATGTGTCGTTTGCATAAACGAACAAAACTTTTGCCCAGCGAGAGGTAAAAATGTTTAAATTAATACCAAAAAGAACGAAATAAAATTATGCAATTTTTACAACTTCATTATGGACACTTTGTTGCCATAGCGTTTTTCCATAGCGACATGTGCGCACTTCCTTCCCCTCCGGTGCCCCGGTGCCCCGCCAGTAATAAACGCCAATGTTGGCCACAAATCCACAAAAGCGTCACCTGTGTCACCTCTGCCGGTGCTCCAGGTTCCCGGATCCTGTCCGCCGCCCCCTGGCAGCCTGTTGTTCGCCCTGCTCCCTGCGGTGGCTACTTTGGCTGACTGTTCTGCCCCACCGGTCTCAGCCTCGAAAAAATGCATAAATTCTCATTTTTATGTGTCTGTGTTGGACTTTACATTAGCTTTGCCACCGATGCTGCTGCTCGTCTCTCCCCCTCCCGCTGATTATCCCCGGAGAGCTATAAAAAAAGAGACATACCACTATATATAGTGAGGTAAATAAATATGTATTGTGCATGTTGTTATTTCACTGGATATGTGTGTAAAAATATATATTTTGCTGTCCACCCCGGGCCAGGGGAATATCGCCCGGCGCTGGCATCCGAAATTGAGTTAAAACCGGAACATTATCATATTGCACTGCGGGGCGGGCAGAGCAGTTTCCTCCAGCAAGGTTAACTTTATTTTATGGGTATAAATTATCGATCATTTGCGTTATGCTAGGTTTTAAAACGTGTTAGACACAGCTGGCACATAAATTACGAAGCGGGCGAGGGCGCTGTGGGCGTGGCGTCGCGCACTTTAAAAGCGCTTTAATTTCATTAAGCAACACTTGCGCTGGAAGCTTCAAAGCGCCGCCGCTTACATAATAATTAGTAAAATAAATTTCACCCAAATACACAGGGCAGCGGGGAAAACAAACCACCAGCATCCCTCCAGCTCCAGCTCCTCCCTCTCTACATTTCTATCTCTGGTGAGGTGCGCCAAATGGCCACGTCAAACGCACGTTCACGACCCACTTACTCTTGGTCCTCCGCGCTGGCGAAAGGACCAAGGACAGCGTCGTTGGCAAATTATTTCCCATCATTTTTCACGCAAAAAGCGCAAAAAATTTGCGCTGACAAACACTTGGCGAGATGGAGCTCTATATGCAAAGTGGCAGCGAGAGAGGGACCTGGGACAGAACGCAGTTGTCAGCGGGCGTTGGCGTCCTGCGACAAGGATTCGGGCACGGGGCAGGGCCACTGGGACAGGACATCGAAACGACAACGATGTCGGCGCTCGAATGAAATCTAATTAAATGCCGCCAAACGTGCAGCACTCGGGCAAAGTGCAGTGGAATGGATCCTTGCTCTGCGCCATCAAACTGCAGACAATGGCGAATATTTTGGTAAGCAAAGCGGTCCATCTCGGTCCAGATAACGTGGCCATTGAAATTCATGGAAGAGGTTAAATGCCGCCATTAAGGGGCCTGCTTTGATTCCGAAATGAAATTGGAAATTTTTGAAAATTAAACTCCAGATATTTGGATAGGACTTCCGTGAAAATGTATCTATAATGTCCATCTTTACATAAGTGTATTGATCATAGCTCGCAAATAACTTTTAACCGTTCCGCGAGAACAACTGAAAAAACATGTATCCCCGTTCTCTCTTTTTGAGCAAAAGACTTTGTTATTTTCGCACAAAGAGACTTATTAAAAGACCGATTGATTGAAAAAGTCAACTCAAACGGTCTTTTTAATAATTAGTTCTCTTTTCGGATGACAGTGGTAGGATCTATTTTTTAAATAAATTGTAGCACTGCTCACTCGCTCAATTCACATTGAACTTTATATAAAAACATACATGACCAAAAGACTTTTTAAATCGTCAGTCAAGAGCAAACGGTCTGTAAATGACCGAGAACCGAAAATCTGATCGTCGGCAGAATGCGAACAAAATTGAATCGGTTGCTCTTAGAGAGAAACACTTATTTTGCTACTGCACGAATCAGTCAACAGTTATTGGCGAGCTATGGTATTGAAGTATTAAGAATACGCTTTTAAAGAGACCTTTAAGCTCACTAAAATAAAGACTACTTATCTTAAGCCTAGGATTTAAATAGTAAGTTATTGTATATTTATTATTTTAAAGCCTCCTCGAAAGAGGAACCACAAATGTAATTGTGATAGTGTTGCGGGACTACTAGCCTTAAATTTTAAACTAAAGACTTTGAAGAACCTGTCACTTACTTTGTAGATACTTGGACACGTTGTGCGAGTCCCCTTTCATCACAACTTCGCAGAGCTAAGATCCATTCCGACCTCTGGCTTGGCTGCCAGCACAAGCGATTTCTAATTCAATTTCGGTGACAGCACATAAATAAAAGAAACATTTTTGAGCGGCAGCAGTCAAAAGCAAAGCAAACCCAGAAAAAAACTCTAAAAGCAATTTCTTGGCAAAAAAAAAGAAGAAAAAGTATACAAAAATAAGGGAAAGAAAATACCGAAGAAGGGAGGAGAGAAGGAGCACAAATGTCAGTTTTCCCAGGACTCGACCAGCCGCAACTACAACTGCCACTACAAAAATACCTCTCCGTGTTTGTGTGTAGTGCTGCGCAACGTTTCGACGAATCGCTTACCAATTTTTCTGACTGCTGCAAATCAAAAGCAAGGAACGAACGACTGAAATTTCTCTGCAAGCAGGAGGTCGCAAAAAAAAAACTTTTTAAATTAACTAAAAAACGGCAAGCACAAAGAAACGGCTGGGGCAGGGCGGCACGGGGCACGGGGGCTGAGGTTTTAGGGACACGTTGTCGCTGGTGTTGGCATTCGGTTTGAGTATTTTAGAGCAAAGTGGAAAACTTTTAGTGGCATGTTTACAAAATAAACTTCAGCTTGCAAAACGGGCCAGAAATAAAGAAAAATGCTGATTGCCACCAACAACAGTATGGCCGAAAAAAATGATTATGATGCGTGGGTGGTGGTGGGGCGGCTCTTATGTATCAGCTGACACACATTTTCGGGGCAAGGTAAGAACAACGAACGGTACTCTCCGGCTCTCCGCTTTTATTTTGTGATTTTCTTCCTTTTTTTTTGTTTTGTTTCTGTTGTTGGCCAACTTTTGTTTGGTTTGTTGTCACTGTCACTGTGTGTAGGCCAGAAAAGTTTTTTACACCAGTTTTTTTTTTTTTTTTATTCGGCTCCTTTTTGGGGGTTTTCCATGTCGACGGTGTTGCTCGTGCTTTTTCTGCTGACAGTTGGGCAAACAAAGCATAATTTTTAATCTGGCCAGGCAAACATTGTTACATATGCGACACACACACCCGCATGCCACACACAACACGGGCCAACTCCACCTGAACGTGGCTTTTAGCTTGATTGTTGATGGGACAGCAAAAGCAGTAGCAGCGGCAGCCACAGTGGCGAAAAAAGGAGAAAATTATGTTTATTTGGCTTTGGCCCCGATTTGTTGCGCATACGCAGCGTATAACGCCGTACGTGACAATATCATCAAGTGGAGGTCTGGAAATCTGTTGATTTAGCGTTTTTCAACTCGCCGCTTTATAAAAATGATTTATTCGGCATAGAAGAAACCAATTAACGACTAGGACCAAGGGATTTTATTCTTCCTTGAGGTATTTAGATAAATTCCTTTTAAATCGATTTGTTTACAACTGCCCCAAAGTAAAATTAGATGCGAAAATGTCAAATTTGACAGTTATTGGCGTCATTTAGTCAAACATCGGTCCGGGCTTATTAATGCGTAATATGCGGTGGCTCGCGTTTGATTTTTCCGTCTGCCGCTGACATTTAATGACCACAGACAACAAGGCCCACACACGTTATTTGCGGTTCGGGCATTTAAAATTCAAGTTCAGGCCAGCCTGGCAGACAGACAGACGTACGGACGAGCAGCTGCCACTGACAGGCTGCCTCATGTGAGAGTGTACGGACCCTTGTCTAGACTGGCATTGCGACTGCGACTGCTCGGCGGTGTGCTCCTTTGAAAACGCCCATTCAACCATGACAAATGGGTCCGGGAAGCAGGAGCAGGAGCAGGAGCAGCTCTGGGCCTGGTAGGATTGTTTGCAAATTTCTTAACACGAAATTAGTCGCCATAAACAAATGGCAAACAAACTGCAGCAG